AGGCCAACTCCCCGATTTTCTTCTTTTTCTTCTCTTTTTATTTTTATTTTTATTTTTATTTTATTATTTTTTTAAATGAGCCACTTTTTCCAAATGAAAGCCGTTAGGACGATTATTACCTAGGTTTAACCTCGAGGGTTATTCCTGAGTCGCCTAGGCCGGTTTCCCGTACTCATTGACCCGATCTATCTAAAAGATTAACCGAGCCAAGAGGAGCCTAATCCTTTCGACTCCCACGAACTCATTTAGTGAGCTTCTTTTTCCAAACGAGATTTCCGGGCGAGATGATCTAGGTTTAACCTCGAAGGGTTTCTCCGAGTTTCCTAAACCAGTTTCCCGGGCTCATTATCCCAATCCACGAATGGCTCGGAATAAGAGGAGCCTAATCCGTACTTCCTCGCGAACTCACTTTTTATTCTTATTTTTTTTTCTTTTTTCTTTTTTTTTTAGGGAGAGGCACACAAGGATACATCACAATTACAATACATAATCATCTCAACTCGATCGAAATGTACCACAAGTGTATAGATAACACGTTTACAACGATACTCGAACATAAGGTAAACATGCCTCAAGACAACCAATCGAGAACAAACAAAGGACAAAACAATTCCGTTAATCCACATGCGAGTTCCAATGTCAACGAATCATCAATCAATCAAAGGAAACCGTCAAATTCATCAAGTACATCAAGCATGAATGCTAATAGTGAAACCAATCAATAATCTCGACTCACCACTTAGCTATCTCGACTCTTGAACAAACATCAAGTTTCATGCGGGAGAGATGACACAAACACACAAAAACTCAAATAAAACCGGTCCACAACACGAAAAATAAGACACCAAAACGAACAAAATATCACCTAAACATGCGTAATCACGAAAATCCCTCCCCCACACTTAAAACAAAGCAATGTCCTCATTGCTTGACCAAAAAGCATAGGATCAAGCACACAATCACACAAGTTTATGGCATATCAATCCTCGAAGCTCGGAGACTAAACTGACCAGAGCCCGGCCCAAACACGCCTTAGCGTAGCTCAACTTATCCACACTGGACAAAGAAGAGACTCCCACTTCGGATTTGGGGTCCCACACCATCAGAGGCACACGTGCTGCTCTCTTCGCATTTTCTAGCATATCAATCCTCGAAGACATGTGTGGAGATTTGATTGATTGGAAAGTAGTAAACCACTCCTCCACCACACCTTCGGGCACCTTCACATTCGCAGCTCTCTCGTCGCCGATTGACAGAAATGACTTCTCAAATAGAGGAGATTCATCAATGCCCCTCTCTACAGCTCTACGGCCGGAGTCGTGCTTCTTCTTCGATCTCTTCTCCACTCCGGAAGAAGCTCCTGCATCAGACATCTTCACTAATTTTCTCTTCTTCCTCTTCTCCGGTTGTGTGGACTCCACGGACTTCGGAGGGGATGATTGTTTCTCCGGCTCCTCTCTCAGCACCTCGGAGAGCGTTAGCTCAGCCACGGCCAACTCGGTACCCATCACATTTGGCTCGGGCTCGGCTTGATTAATTGCAGCAGCATTCACAACTGGCAGCACCTCGGTAGGTGTAACCTCTTGCTGAGACTTTGGACTTTCCGGGATAGCCGCCGACGTTGCACTTGACCCCACTTCGGTCAGCTTCTTACCAATGGTTTTCTGGCCAGCGGTCCTCTTCACCAAAGCGCGGACTAAATCTCGCCTCATAGCGTTAGTCAACCGCAAATCTCAGCTCTTACCAAACTTTGATTGCAGATCCTTATTCGGATAACGACGCCTGAAGTCCTTGGCGTCCTTAACAGTTCGGTAACCTAAAAACCCGAGTAGCGGATAGTATACTGCACTGAGACACAAGACAAACAAAGTCATCAACAATTATTCCACGTGCATTAGAGTATTGATAAAAACACAGGACATTAAATTTCTCTAACCGGGGTCGAATTTAGCAGTGTAAACTCCGGGAGATAGACCAGCAGCTTCGAGCTTCGAGTCTACCATGAGTTTTCTATAGTCTCAGATGTCTTTACCAAGGTCTGCGAGCACAAGTAACTTCCCACCGAATTCCGGACTAAGTTTCGGCTCCTTCTGCTTCGTCTCTTTTTCTACAAAGGGTAAAAGTTCCAACCCGTTAGTACACAGAACAAAGCCGACATCAGAGAAATAAACAAGGAATAAAGAACAAAATAAACTCACTTGCTCTGGAATGAATATTCATCGGAATTTTCATCACGTCTATCCGAGGTTCATGGAAAAAACTCTCAGACTGCCATTCTCCTCCAACCCACAGCCATTCTTCCTGAAATCCATGGAGGGTTTCCGGGATGTCGGTTCTTATCTCACCAACTTAAAGACCGTGTTGCGATTTTGCTCCAGCAAAGAAACAACATGAAGACTCCGCCACTCTCCTTTTCGGACTCTTTTTGAAGGCATAGATACTCCTTATTTCGTCACACGACGGTAACCCTTCACCCCGTTCATGTAGCAACACCATCAGGCCAATTATCTTTTTCCAACTGTTAGGGGTGATCTGACACAACGGTAACCCCCAACTTCGGAGATATTCCGTAATCAAACTCAGCAACGGAAATCTTAGTCCCGACCTCAGGCTCTCCGCAAAAATGTCAACACAACCCGGAGGAGGGCTAGTTATCCTTTCCCCCAGATAAGTTGCAAAAATTTTCACCGAGGGCGGAATCCGTATTTGTTCTCGGAGCATCACCACATCGGCGTCCGTTAGAATGCTGGGCTCACCTTCAAAGTCGACTGCCGGATCAAACCACTTCCTCACTGGCCTCCTTCAATGAGGTTCTTCGATATCAGCCACATTTTCCTCCATCACACAGTCGCCGTCCTCATCCTCCGGCTTAATGTCCAAATGTCTCACCGACATCGGATCCCACCGATGGTATTCAAAAGTCAATTCAATTAATTCTGAGTCATGATACACCTCTAATGGAACCGAATCCGTACTGGACGAACTTGCAACGGCCTTACCCTTTTCCTTCGACGCCATCGAACAAAAAGAAAAATATAATACAGAGAAATAAGCAAAAAATCGACAAAGAAGCTTACCAAGAAATCAACGAGCAGACAATCGCGCCCAAAGGATAAATCTCAAATATGCAGAAGAATTTCGATAAGCAGTTTGCGAGAATTCGAAGATGAAAGCAAAGGCGAAGAAAATTCAATTAAAATTCTCGGTGCCCTATTTATAAGTTCTAATTTCGGACCGTTGGGGTCCTTAATTAGGGGCGCGTGCAACCGACACAACTCCTGATCCCAAGCGGTGCGACCCCTTCACCTGACAAGAACCTATTGTACACGTGGCACCCTATTAATGCGACCGTTATTGCATTTAAGACCATTACGGCGTGACCTTTCACACTATTCATTAAATGCCCGACCGTTACGTCTCTTCAGATTTTCTCCAATACTGCCCAGATCTGGCACAAATTTTCGCCAAGTGCTCTCACCTCGGAAATTAATCTTCATCTCGGACTACACAAATCCACTTCGGTTATTCACATAGACAAGCACCTCAAAACGAACACTTCCTCCTTACAGCTTATTACCGAGTCGGAATCTCTATTCATTTTGCAGTACTGACGGACATCACTTCGTATGCCCGCCGATACTGGGGGCCTTTCTGTTATCACCCGACTCGGTAATCCGAAGTTGTTAACCTCAAACCGCGTCTTAGATGGATTATTACCAGCAATGAAATGGCCAACAGTTATCCCGGTCCGCATACCGAACCGGCCAAGCTATAGAAGACCGAGGTGACCCTCACCACCGAGGTCATCCCAAAACCGAAGTCTCTATGAACCGAGGTCGTCACCTCCCAAGCTGGTGACAAGGCGCCTACACGCCACCTTCACAAACCACGAGGTCAAGTGGGACCCGCTGACAAATACCGACCCCCAAAAGTAGCTTTATGAAAAAGCAATGCACAAATCCCCATATGTATCCCAAAAAGTTACTATACATAGCAAACCCCTGATACTTGTACTGGGGATCCCCGAACCGAAATTTTTATCATGCAACACGAAACAGCTCACAGAAGCTTTTCACCTCGGTTCACCTCGGACCGGGGCCATTGTTGAATGTCTAATGCATGTCTTACGTTCAAACCATCAATAATCGTCAAGTAATCCTATTCTCAAATCGTTGTTAATAATCACATAACAACAACCTGCATGGTAATCGTTCTGTATGGTTTCCGTATGGCAAATTTGCCATGTCCGGTTGTACTCTTTTTCGTTTGAGTTATATATCCTTTCATTTGGGAAAAATAAATAAATATCAAGCTCAATACACGCAACTAATTCTTTAGAGGATCTACAATGGCTTGTTAATTATAGAAATATAGGAGAAGTTCCATAAAAAAAATGTCTCTAACCGTGAATGTCTAGATTATACTCATAATGATATGACAAGAAAGAGAAAGAATAAGATGCAAAAATCCTTCTACATGTAGAAGTCTTGTTTGTTAAAATAAAAATATAGAAGCCTTTTCAGACATGATGAGTCGTATTTTTCCTTCACACTTATTTCTTTTTCTTTTAATTAAAAAACAAATTAGTTGAAGAAAAAGAGAGTAACTGCTGCTGCGATTGAACAAAAAATGAAAGAATTACAATAAATAAATAATATAATATAATATACACATACTTAGTTGCATAAAATATACCGATTGAGACTTTTTATGAACTAGAATATCTATTCCGTGCACGTGGATGGAAGACTATCTATTTAATTTCAAATCCCAATAATCAAAATTGATTTTTCTTTTCTTTTTTTTTTTGTACAAAAAAATTGATTTTTCTTTTTTTAAATGTGTTTGGACCGAATTCGACCCAAATCTCACATTGTAAAATCCGACTCCATTTTACGCTGTAACTGGTTAAATGGTTATTCTAATCTCTTTATCAGATATCACTATATCAGTATCACTTGTCAACCAAGCTTCCAAACCCTCACCAAATTCTTCCGAAAATGATGAAGGCGTCGTTCAAAACTAGGTATGACTTGGACAAACCCACCGCCGCTGCCACCGTGGCAGTCAACGCCGGCGACTTCAAGCTCCGCGCCTCCATGACCGACGCCACCGTCGCTTCCGGCCCCAGCTTGAACGGCCTAGCCTTAGGCATCGAGAAACCTGGTTTCTTCATGGTCGACTACAACGTCCCCAAAAAGGTCAGCACCCATTGATTAAACCGCCCTTATTCTCGTCGATTAGAGATTCTTGAAGTGGATATCGAAATTATTACGATTAAATACTCGGATTTTGGGAACCTAATTATCGTGATCTGATCTTATTAACCTTCTCCCTTTTTATCTCCGTTATGCACAGTAATTTGCGTTTTTTGTTGGTTATGCCCATAGGATTTTAGGTTTCAGTTCATGAATACTGTTAAAGTGGCAGAGAAACCGTTGAAATTGACCTACATTCACAGTAAAGGCGATGAACGGACAATATTGGATGGGACACTGGTGATTGATTCTGCAAACAAGGTTTCTGCTAATCACGTACTTGGTACCGGCAATACGAAGTTGAAGTACAGTTATTCACATGGAGGGCTGACGACATTCGAGCCGAGCTATGATTTGGGGAAGAATACATGGGATTTTGCAGTTTCGCACAAGGTAAACATGTTTGAGACCAATAACATGCTCCGTGCTACCTATCAGACATCTAGCAAGAATTTGGGGCTCGAGTGGTTTCAGAATTTAAAGGATAATGGTACTTTCAAGGTAAATGCAATATGTTCTTTTGACCATTTTGCATTTGGGTGTATTGGAGTATAAACTTGATTAAATAATGAAGTCTTGTTAAGTGTCATTTCAAGTGATCTTGGCTCGCAGTGCTTGTTGGACTGATTTCATCGTTTCCTGCCCAAATTATTGGAAATTCGATGATGAAGGATTGCTATATGAAATGATTTTGACTCTCTTTGCAAGTAGATGAGCTTTCCGATCCTCAATATTATTGTTATTGTTAATTTTATTGTTTTTTTTTTAATTGTGATCAGCTGCAATAATAAACCAGATTGAATGTATTAAATAGTTACACATTCATCTGGAAATGACGTAAAATAAGAGGATACAAAATTGTGCTGACCTTCTGATGTTTTTTGGATGGTCGTCATGATTTGCAACACATCTTCAACTGTGGTTTATGCTGATTTCAGTGTGATATTCTTTGTTCATTTAGTAAACACAAACTTCTTCCGACTTTTGGATAGTGTTCTGAAAATTGTGCAGCTTTCTTTTACGAATGTAAAAATTTGATGGTTAGTCTGTTTTCTGTGTATGTGCTGCATAAGCTATTGAAATCTCAATAATACTAATATTTCAACGTGACTAAAATATTACAAAATTCATGTGATTTAACAATGGTTTTAAATGGATCTTTTTTGGGTTTCACTAGTGGGGGATAACACCTGTAAATTCAGTTATGCACGCTCTAAGCAGATAATTGCAGAGTTTGTATCTTTTATGTACACAAGCTCACGATCATCTTTCTTGCTCGTTCTCACAAGATTTACGCACAATACCTTTTATTTAATACAACAAAAAAGGTGATTTCATGCTAGCTCTGTTGATTCAATTGTCGTATATGCAGGTTACAACATCCGTCAATTTGGCAGACGAGCGAAAAATACCAAAATTATGTGCCGAGTCTACCTGGGAATTTGAAATGTGATTTCTTACTGCCTTTGTTCATCTGCTGCAAGAGTTCAGTCCGGACAATAATCTTTTAAAAGACTGGATGTAATCAATCTTTTAATCATGGCAGTTGTTCTGCATCATTATGCAAACTGGCTTTACAATTTGCAGCAAACTTTTAAGCCATTTTTATATCCATTGATTCATGTTTCAGTCCTGAAATTCGTATCAGGTACAGGTACGTATTTTGTGAGAAAGTTTTGCAGGGTTGCTGTGTGTTTCATTCAGTGCACAATCTTCGTGGTACATTGTTTTCATGAATGGTCTTGCACCATGAACTCAATTTACCATGAATGGTTTGTTGCGATTGAAGGAAATTGGTCGCCTAATCGTACCAACATTATGCCAGTTGATATGATAACCTAACACTGTGAGGTCCAAATTTTAACGCGGCTATCTAATATCTATAGGTACAATGCATATATAGTCTAGCACCTTAGATCATTGACTAATAGTAGGCATTTCGGCACTGTTTATTTTTTTTGTCTAATTGTTGAAAACCATACTATTTCAAATTTTCAATATATATATGTGGACACTTTCACGTTTAAATGTTGTATGTTAATACTTAATATACAATATAAATGGAAATGAAAGTATAGTATTTCATAGTAAATGTGTGGATTTTTTGTAATAGATTATATTGGATATAAGTTTATTTGGTTTTCATTGGATATATTGAATAAATTGAGTTAATTTTGAAAAAAAAAAAAATAAATAAATTGGGTGGAAGATTTGAGTGAGATTTTTGAGTTATTATTTAATTAACATTTGAAATTAGTATGAAAATAATTTTAAACATTAATATTATTTTATCTTTTTTTTTTTTTTT